CACAGAAGGAAGGCTGAGCCATCTACTTCTGTAAAGGTTTATTTCGGAAACCCAATGGGTTTTGGAATCAACTCGATGGCAGTGGGTTTTTTTTTTTTTTTTTCCATATGCATGTGAAAGCTGGACAACGAATAAGGACCCAAGAAGAGTTGATGGCTTTGACTTGTGGTGTTGGCAAAGAATACTGCAAATACCAGGGACTGCCAGAAGAATGTACAAATCTCTTCTGGAAGAAATACAGCCAGAATGCTCCTCAGAAGCCAGAATGGCCAGACTTCATCTCATCTACTTTGGTCATATTGTCAGAAGGGGCCAGTCCCTTGAGAAGATTATAATGCTTGGTAAAGTGGAGAGTCAGAGAAAAAGGGAAGACTCTCAACGAGGTGGATTGATAGTGGCTGCAATGATAGCAACGATTGTGGAGATGACATAGGATCAGGCCATGTTTCACTGTTGTGGATAGGGCTGCTGTGAGTCACAGTCAACTCAACAGTACCTAACAAGGGAGAATTTTAATAATGTCCAAGTTAGCTGGCTTTTGTTGATATATTCCTTGCATATTTCTCCATGTGTTCTTTTTTGCATAAAGTACAGACACCACTGCTGCCATACTGTAGATTAGTGAATCCCTTTGCCTACTACAGTTGTTGTTAGGTGCCACTGAGTTGTCTGCGACTCATAGCAGCCTTATGCACAGCAGAACGAAACACTGCCTGGTCTTGTGACAGCCTCATGATCTCTGCTATACCTGAGCCCATCATTGCAGCCACTGTGTCTGTCCATCCCATTGAGGGCCTTCCCCTTCTTCATTGACCCTCCACTTTACAAGCATGATATCCTTCTCCAGAGAATGTTCCCTTCTGACATGACCAAAGTAGGTGAGATGAAGTCTGGTCATTCTCGTTTCCAAGGAGCCTTCTGGCTGCACTTCTTCCAGGATAGATTTGTTCTTTTAGCAGTTCATGGGACTTTCAGTATTCTTCGCCAACACCATAACTCAAAAGCATCAATTCTTCTTCAGTCTTCTTCATTCATCGTCCAGCTCTCACATGCATAAGAAGCGATTGAAAAATACCATGGTTTGAATTAGGCACAGCTTACTCTTCAAGGAGACATCTTTGCTCTTCAGCACTTGAAAGGTCTTTTGCAGCAGATTTGCCCAGTGCAAAACATCGTCATCTGATGTCTTGACTGCTGCTTCCATCAGTGTTGATTATATAACTAAGCAATATGAAGTCCTTGACAACTTCTTTTCTCTATTGACTGTGAAGCTGTTTATTGGACCAGTTGTAAGGATTTTTGTTTTCTTTATATTGAGGTATAATCGATACTGCAGTCTGTAGTCTTTAACCTTATCAGTAAGTGCTTCAAGTCATCCTCATTTTCAGCAAGCAAAGTTGTGTTCTCTGCATATCACACATTGTTAATGGGTCTTCCTCCAATCCCGATGCTGTGTTCTTCTTCATATAATCCAGTTTCCTGGGTTATTTGCTCAGCATACAAATTGAATAAGTATGCTGAAAGGAAACAACCTTGATGCATTCCCTTCTTGATTTTAAACCATGCCGTATCCCCTTGTTCTGTTCAAACGACAGCCTCCTGATCTATGTTCAGTTTCCTCATAAGTACAATCAAGTGTTCTGGAATTCCCATTCTTCTCAATGTTATCCATAATTTGTTATGATCCACACAATTGAATGTTTTTGCATAGTCAGTAAAACACAAGTAAACATCTTTCTGGTATTCTTTGCTTTCCAGTTAAGACCCATCTGACATCAGCAATGATATCCTTCATTCCACATCCTCTTCTGAATCCAGCTTGCATTTCTGGTAGCTCTCTGTCAATATACTGCTGCAATCATTTTTGAATTGTCTTCAGTAAGATTTTACTTCATGTGATATTAATGATATTGTTTGATAATTTCCACATTTTGTAAGATCATCTCTCCTTGGAATGGGTACAAATATGGATCTCTTTCATCAGTTGGCCAGGTAGCTGTCTTCCAAATCTTTTGGCATAGCTGAGTGAGTGCCTCCAGTGGGGCATCCATTTGTTGAAACATCTCAATGGGTGTTCTGTCAATTCCTGGAGACTTGTTCTTTGCTACTTCCTTTAGTGCACCTTCTACTTCTTCCTTCAGTACCATTGGTTCTTGATCATATGCCACATCCTGAAATGGATGAACATCGACCAGTTCTTTTTGGTACAGTGATTCTGTATTACTTCCATTTTCTTTTGATGCTTCCTGCATCATTAAATATTTTGCCCATAGAATCTTTCAACAGATCATCATATAGTTGTCTAGCTCAAACCAGTCCATTTCAGCTCACTAATGCAACTCAAGGCTTATTTTTTTTCCTCAGTTCTTTCAGCTTGAGAAATGCTGAGCGTGTTCTTCCCTTTTGGTTTTCAGACTCCAGGTCTTTGCACATTTCATTATAGTAATTGGCTTTGTCTACCCGAGCTGCTCTCTGAAATCTTCTGTTCAGCTCTTTTACCTTTCCATTTCTTCCATTTGCTTTAGCTACTCTCTGCTGAAAGTCACGTTTCAGAGTCTTTTCTGACATCCGTCTTGGTCTTTTCGCCCTTTCTCGTATTTTTAATGACCAGTTGCTTTCCCTGTGGATATGTTCTTGATGTCATCCCACAGTTCCTTTGGTGTTCAGTCATGAGTGTTCAGTGCATCAAATCTATTCTTTAAATAGTCTCTACATTCAGGAGGGATATTATCAAGGTCATATTTTGGCTCTCGTGACTTGTTTTGTCATCAACTTCAACTTGAACTTTCAGATGAACAGTTGATGGTCTGGTCTACAATCAGCTCTTGACCTTGTTTCAGCTGAAGATACTGAACTTCTCCATTGCTTCTTGCCACAGATGTAGTCAGTCTGATGCCTGTGTATTCCATCTGGTGAAGTCCACGTGCATAGTCATCGTTTATGTTGTTGAAAAACGGTATTTGCAATGAATAAGTCGTTGGTCTTGCAAAATTCTATCATGTGATCTCCAGTGTTATTTCTATCACCAAGGTCATATTTTCCAACTACCAGTAACTCTTCTTTGTTTTCAACTTTTGCATTCCAGTCACCAGTGATAATGAACACATCTTGATTGCATGCTTGGTCAATTCCAGACTGCAGAAGTTGTAGAAATCTTCAATTTCCTCATCTTTGGCTTTGGTGGCTGGTGCATGGATTTGAACAATGGTGGTATTAACTGGTCTTCCTTGTGGGCATATGGATATTATTCTATCACTTACAGTGTTGTACTTCAGGACAGATCTCAAAACACTCTTTGTGACACTGAATGCATTCCCAACATAGTAGTCCGGCTCACACCAGTCCATTTCAGCTCACTAATGCCTAGGATATCGATCTTTATGTGTTCCATTTCATTTCTGACAACTTCCAGTTTTCCTAGATTCTTACTTCGTACATTCCATGTTCTAATTATTAATGGATGTTTGCATCTGTTTCTACTCATTTTGAGTGATGCCGTATCAGCCAATGGATGTCCTGATAGCTTTACTCTATCCATATTGTTAAGGTCGTCTGTACTCTGAGGAGTCAGCTCTTGCCAGTCAAACTGTGACTGCCTTCCGACCTGATAGGCTCATCTTCTGGCACTATATTGGACAATGTTTCAGGGCTGTTCATAAAGTTTTCCCAGTAATATATCAGACAGTGTTTCACTGCTGTTCATAAGGTTTCCACTGGCCTATTCTTTGAGAAGTGGATGGCCTTTTCCTTCTTCCAAGTCTGTCTTAGCCTGGAAGTTCTGCTGAAACCTGTCCACCATGGGTAACCCTGCTGGCATTTTGCAACACCAGTGGCATAGCCTCCAGCCTCACAGCAATATGTAAGCTACCACAGGATGATGAACTTAAAAGTTTGCCTCCCTTGGTTGTTCTTAACCCTTCTGTGCCCACCTACCTCAGGCAATGACCTTAAAATAGAGCCGCCCCTAAGTGAAACTAGCCCGTGAGCCCCATGCCCGCCTACCTCAGGCCTCAGGCTTAATAAACAGCCTTCCCCAAGCAAAAAGGAGCCCCCAAGCCCCGAGCCCATCTACCTCAGGCCCCGCCTTAATATAGAGCCATACCCAATCGAAAAACAGCCTCCAAGCCCCAGGCCTGCCTACATCAGGTCCTGGCCTAAATAAGAGAACCCTATGAGTCGGGGCTGACTCGGCACATAACAACAAGAAGCAAAAATCAGCCCCCAACCACCAGCCCACCTACCTCAGGCCTTGGCCTTAATTTAGAGCCACACCCAAGCAAAAAGCAGCCTACAAGCCCTGGGCCAGCCTGCTTCAGGCCCCGGCCTTTGAATACAGAGCCACACGCAAGTGAATAGCAGCCTCCCAGCCCCAACCCCACCTACCTTGGGTCCAGACTTAATATAGAGCCACAGGCACACCTAAGCGAAAAGCAGATGCCAAGCCCTGGGTCAGCCTACCTCAGGCCTGAGCCTTAAATACAGAGCCACACCCCAGTGAAAAGCAGCCTCCTATAAAGAAATGAAAAAGGGAAGAGGCTGATGTAATTGGAATCAAGGTAGTTTCCTTTAAGCTTTTTAACTGAGATTAGGCAGCCAGTGCAGTGAAAGGTGAAGCTCTTACCTGGTATTTTCACTTTTGTCCAGTGTTTTAGTAAATATTTGAAACCAACTGTCTCCCAAATAAGCTATTGCAAAAAGCTGTGAATTCTGTCCTTATAGCATAACTTTTTGCTCCATTAATAATATTCCCAGGGATTTACTTAGGTTTTGAAGCCTTTTATAAAATGCCAAGCTCCTTTTACCTGTGGAAATCTCAGTACTTTTTAAGCAAGATCAGGGGTCATGGTGTCCTGTGTGTTCCAGGCTAGAAAGACCTGAAATGTTCTCCTGAATGGGACAGGCATGGGAGCCAAGGAGGGGAGGGGAGGGGAAGAAGGGGAAAGGAAGGAACGTGGCCTCAGAGCCTTCATATCTTTTCCTTCAAACCTCCTTTTCTTCAGATGACCTGAACATTGGTGGAATTATTGGAGGGGTTCTGGTTGTCCTCGCAGTACTGGCCCTGATAACAGTGGGTATTTGCTGTGCATACAGACGTGGTTACTTCATCAACAACAAACAGGATGGAGAAAGGTAGCCTGTCTTACAAGGAAAAGTCAGAATTGTTGGGGTTAATGTGACAACCAGTAATCATTGAACTGCTTTTCTTCTATTTCACAGCTATAAGAACCCAGGGAAGCCTGATGGTGTTAACTATATCAGGACAGATGATGAGGTAAGGAGGAAGGGAAAAGAGCAGAGACATGGTTTAGCTGACCTAGAGATCTAGGTGTACCTAGCAGGGAAATTGACATTACTGTTTCAAAACCAAGGAGATCCCATATGAAAAAGATCTCCAATTACATTGCAGTCTCTGTACTCTTTATCCCTTTCTAGTAGTATGTGCACATTTGAATGGTGCTTCTTGTTTGCAAACGCTAGATGTTACTTTTTAAGAACGGTGGTTACTTGATTTGTTTTTCTGTAGGTCTTTTCAGGGAAATGGTGAAGCCACTGTTAGAGTTGACCATGAGCTTTCCTTTCCTATTGTTCCACTAGTCCCCTGGATTGGCAGAGGAAGGCCACATTGTAACTTTGTATTGCTTTTCAGGGTGACTTCCGACACAAGTCATCATTTGTGATCTAAAATCTGGTGGTATGGTCAAGAGAGCACATGCAAATACCTCTACTAGAAACTCCTATTAAGAACAACCTATGAGCAAAGTGCACTTGGAAAGAGCTAGACACTCATGCAAAAGCTTTTTTTTTTTTTTGCCAAAGTTGACCGCTACTCCTTTCTTAATTTTTAACAAGCCACATGAATAAAAGAATTTTCCTCAAGATGGGCATAGTAATCACAAGGAAAAGAACTAAATTAGTCCACAGAATGATTCCCAGTCTGTTGCTGGTCTGATTCTCATGTGAGTATTAGCGTGACTGAAGATATTTCTCACATAAACTTTTCCTGTGCTTGTGCACTGAGGACTTATGAAGCCAATTTTTTTGCCACTAGTTGTTCATCACTTAGTATGAATGCTATGTGAGGGGATGACAAAGTTGCTTCATGGACCAGCAGTGTGAAACCTGAGAGCCTGGGCCCCAGGAGGAAATTTTACCTGCAGAGCTTGTCAGATGAACCCAGAGAAGTTTATATACAACTGACTGGTTTTAAAGCATCACACAATTGGTTAATATTTTTGTTGATCAGTGTTGTAGTGTCCATCTTGGAATATATTTTGGGGTCAGCATTTTGTAAAAACAACCAAAATCAAGAGGGAAACTGCTCACTGGAAAAAAGATCTTTTTTTATCTGCAGGAATCCTGCTTGCCCTTGGAGGGTTTCAGAATTTTAGGAAAACCACCTTAGGCTAAATTTGAAATGGTACTAAAATAATGTTTTGCTTTTCTATACACCTCATTTATTTTATAAAATTTTACATCTAAATTTTTGCTAAAGATGTATTTTGATTATTGAAAAGAAAATTTCTATTTAAATTGTAAATATGTTGTCATACAATATTAAATAACCTATTTTTTTAAAACCATTTAACTGTAGGCAGGAGTTCCAAGCCACTAGTGTTATATCAGAAAATATCAGGAATTAGCGAATTCCCTTTCAAGGAGGCTTACTAGAACATTCCTTTTTCCATGTAAGTTTTAGCATTTTTCATAAAGGACTTGTGCCATCTGTATATCAAACCACTGCTGCTTAGGATACTTTTAAAAGCTCCAACTGAGCAATGTTGAAATCTGTACCATCTCTCCAAAAAAAACATAAGGCACTCTCAGGTTAGCTTTGAACCGTCTCTTCCTTAGATTACTAAAATTACCTATGCCCAAAGACCACCCAGAAACTTTCAACATGTGTTCAAACCACTTTAAGCAACTCCTGGGGTTGAGTCACATACCGCCCCTCTACAGTGGCATTGGCTACTTATTTCCAAGTGCTGGCCAAAGTGTCCACTTCTATTTCAAGAGTTCTGACTATGGCTTTGCATCCTGGCCAGCTTTAATACTGTGACTCATGTACCATGTGTCACTTTGTTCATTCCAGGCAGGACAGCTTAAAGATGAGCACTTCAGGAAAACGGGGTGGCTTCTATGTGGCATTCCTGCCTTTGGGTTCCCTGATAAAAATGTGTCAGAGCTGAACTTTTTGGCTATAGATGGTTCAAAAAACAAAGCAGCTACTGCTCTTTCTTTTTAAAGTTCATTTTAATTATCTGTGTATTTTATAAGACTGAACAGGCCACAGGCAATTTTGAAATTGAATCTGTCAACTACAATACCATTTTTTAAAGAAAATGAATTCCATTGTTTCTCTCTGCCATGAAGAAAAGCACTCAGACACCACAGGTGTTTCATTTCACAATAAACTAGTATGTAGTGACAGCCAGTCTAGCCTTTTGAAGAGTATTACAGTGCAGCCAGGATAAAAAGCTTCATGGTGAGGAAAGTAAAATGGCTGAACCAGAAGCAGTTTTCTAAACTTGATTTAAAATTTTTTTACCTGCCTGTGACACTGCTCTCTTTATGGGGGATATTACAAACATCATTCAAAACCTCTGTTCCTAAAGAGCAGATATTCTAAAGCCCAAATACATTGCTGTATTAGGCTAATATGATGTGGTTCGAAGCAAGGAGCTTCTCAAAAGGAGCACATCTAATTCCATTGTGTACTTAAAGGATGATTTTTATGTAGAAGAATGCAGTCACCTTGTGATTAAACTTCCAGTGTCTTAATCTGCAATGCTTTGACAGTTTTTTTTAAACTGAATACTTGAGACTAATGTTGACTTTTCTAAGTTATGTCAAATACTTTGCCACTGGATATTTGGCAGAAGTGGTGGACAGCTGTTCAGTGATTGTTTAATGGTACCTACCTTTTGCATTTGTATCAGGAATGTTTGGAAGTAAGACTATCCTGTTATCTTCACCTACTCTTGGTTGATAAGGACACTTTTCCCTCCTCTCTTTGTTGGGGAGTTACACTCTAGCCTTCATCTTGGTTGTCATACTGATAGGGCCACCTTACTGCCTCCTTTTTATATTCTAAAGCCTTTTCTACCCTACTGCTCTGTGCAACTAGGTCTGACAAAGTACAGAGAAGTAAAATACGGAGTCTGAGGAATATTTGCGTATTACCAGAACAATGGAGACATAAATGGAAAACTTATTTTTAAGAATGTGACTAATGATTCAAGAGGCCTATACAAGGCTGTAATTCTGGCCATTGGTATGGATGTTGCTGTATGTAGATGTTACAAGTTCTACTAACACACCTATTAATTTGAATTTTGTTAAACCTCATTTATAAAAGCTTTTAGAAAAATCAGCTTTGCCTCATTATTTCTTTCTTTCTCATTTGTTCTTATGTTGAATTTTCCTCTTCTTCCTAGTGTTCTGTTAGACAAATATACTTAAAATGATCAAATCCCAGGTTTAGAGATTGCTACTGTGCTACTAGGAGACCAGCGCTGAACTTGCTTTCTGAAGAGCAGCTTTGTCACTTGCTCCACCAATGATAAGCCCAGGGAATGGGACAATGCATACATGTGAGAGCTGTGGGGTGGAACACAATGATGTTCTATCCCTCAAATCTAATTACCACATTTATATTTAAGCATATGTTTATAACAGGAATTCTGCACTTCTGCTTCTGTAATACTAAGATTGAAGAGGAACCAATTTCTGGTTTTCCTTGAACTAAACATTGACATACAAGTGTTGTAAGTTTACCTAATGGGGCCAACAGAGGAGACACGAAGTATATACCACCATTATAGCAGCAGTCCTTGACAGACTGTTACACAAGCCAGTGTTAGTACTACTCTGGGTAACAGACATGAAGTGGTTTTTTCACAAGCAAGAATTGTATTTATGTACTAATAAGGATGTTTATTGTTGGGAGGCAAACAACTTTTATATGGGAACAAGGCAAGAAGCGGACAGATGAACCAAACCTTTAAGAAAAACTGAATCCTCTTTTTTCTTAACAGAAAAGATTTAGGCTTGTTTTTCCTAATTACTTTATGTAAAATTAAAATGACTACCAATAAAAGCCTTGTTCTACAATTAGAAAAATTCTACTGATACTGGAAGCTATTTTTATTGTTTAACCTTTATTTATGGAATATAGCTTATCAGACTTTACTTACACTTTCAAATGAAATAAAGTTGTAATATTAAATAGCTAAAGTTTAGGCCTAAGAAAATCTAATCTGATGCTTCTCTATTATTTTACATTTTTTTTAGCCACTTATTACATAAAGAGAAATACAAAAGATTTGCAAGCTAAAAATACGATAAGCAAGAGTGCTGGAATCATAAAGAAAAGCTTGGTATTCCAAGATGAAAGAATCACTAAGGTGTGAGGAAGTGAGATAGCTGCCCTTCCACTAGCATGAAACAAGGTGTCCTTCCTTTCCATGCCAATTCTTGGAATGCACTGTTTAGTTGGCTGTTTTTAAAGGTGTCTTTCGAAGGGACCTCCTGCTGGGGGTTGGATTGTCTTTATTTCTGGCTGGAGACCTCACATTCCACTGCTGAGGTTGTGGAGGCCTAAGGAAGAAAAAGATACCATCATTTTGGAATTAAAAGAAATATCCTGACAAAACGAAGGCAAACGGAACTACACCCATACGTGTGTGTGTGTGTGTGTGTGTGTTTGATACAGGATATTTCTATGTATGTATTTATATGTGCTGCAAATACATCCATGAATATAATTGAGCATACAGGGTACAAAGTTATGAAAACTTCTCTGCCATAACTGGAGGAGATGAGTTGTTGGGCCTGGGGGCTCAGGGTCATAGTCTTGGGGGATATATCTAGGTCAACTGGCATAGCATGATCTACAAAGATAATTTTCTATATCCTACTTTGGTGAGTAGTGACCAGGGTCTTAAAAGCTTGTAAACAACTATCTAAGGTGCAGTTATTGGTCTTTCTCTGTCTGGAGTAAACAAGAATGAAGAAAAACAAAGACACAAGGAAGCAATCAGTCCAAAGGACTAATGGACCATACAAACCCCAGCATCCACAACCCTGAGACCAGAAGAACTAGATTATACTCGGCTTCCATTGCCAACTACTCTGATAGGCATCACAATAGGAGGTCCTGGATAGAGTGGGAGAAAAATGCAGAGGAAAACTCAAAATAACAAAAAAGACCAGGCTTACTGTTCTGATAAAGACTGGTAGAGACTATGGCCCTTAGACACCCTTCAGGCCTGAAACTAAACTCACCCCTGTGGCTCAACTTTAAGGCAAATGATAGTAAGGCCTTTAAGGTAAACAATAACACCAGGGAGGTATGCACTTCTTAGAACAATCAATAATATGAGATCAACAGGGCAACCATTTGCCCCCAGACAAAGCTCAGAAGGCAGGAAGGGATAGGAAAGGATGAATGGAAATGATAAACACAGGGAGCATATGGGAAGAGTGCTGTTACACTGTAGGGATTGCAACCACTGTCACAAAACATGTATAAATGGTTTAATGGAAAACTTTCACTCAAATCACAGTAAGTTTAAAAAAAAAGAAAAAGGAAACTCTTGGTAAACTTACGGTTTATCAGGCAATGATAAACATAGTATCTCTGTTCCTTGACTCTGGACTTCACTTTTCTCTGAAAAGGAGACAAACACAAATTCAGTTTTTCCTAGCACTCTCAAAGTAGGCAACGTGCCAGGCAGGAAGGGCACCTATAACTTGCCTTTGTGTGAAAAAGGAGTCCGTGGTATGCTGATGTAACTGACCCCGGCTCCAAATGAGATCTCGTTGATGGTCCCTGGGTAAAAGGAGAAATACCATTATTAGTAAAATGTTGTTTAGAAACCAAGTCTCAGAAAAAGTCACTTGAGCAAGGTCAGTGAAGCCTTTCTGCCATTCAAGTTTCTCCATCCTCTACCATAATGAGCACTGTGGATTTAAATAGCCCACTGTGCCTGGGTCTCACCACCCTCAGCATGTTCTGGGCTGCCACACCTGGGTCCTTAAGTGCAGTTCTTTGTGCCCAGAGTACCCCCCTGATCTGAGAATACAGCATTATTTCTTTGAGACTCAAATTCTGAAGTCTTCCCCTCGTGGTTTAGTGGTTGCCCCCTTCTTCTAGCCCTATACCATTCTGTATATGCTCCTCTCATGGAATTTATCTGGTTATACTTTAATATATTTAGTTCTGTTTCTTCAATAAAACCATTTTCTTTACTCACTTGCACACAACATCCACCCATCCCCCTCCTACCTCCACCCCAGTAGCAGCCTGAAACATTCTAGGTCCAAGAGCTGGTTGCTAAGTATACTGGACTTCTGGATCCCATCATCCTTTTTGTAAGAACATTTATGAAGTAAGTTTTATAACTGCTACTTTTCTCCCATATATTGTAACCTCCTTACAAGGAGAGATTATATATTGTATTTTAAAACCCATTAGTGTAGTTGCACTGCTATGCATGAATGTCTGTCTACTCAGGTGACAAAAAGTTATATTTTCATCACTGCCATTAAAAGACTGGGCAATCTACTTCCGTAGAGATACTGCCTCAGAAACTCAAGGAGGGGTCACTATGAGTTGAAATTTACTCGATGGCAGTGAGTTTGATTTCTTTTTGGTTTGCTATTAAAAGAGCTTGATGCTGCTTATTATTTCTGTGAGGTCTCTCCTTGTGCTCCATCTGAATTCCCCCTTCTTAAACTCCATTGCCATAAGTTGATTCTGACTCAGCAAACCTACAGGACAGAGCATAAACACCCCATCAGGTTTCCAAGGCTGTAATATTTATCAACCTTTACGAAGCACCTATCTAGTAGCTCTTAGTGTCCCTTGGTACACTTTGTGCTTAGAATCAATGGTAGAAAACACCTTTGCTGTCTGAATTATAGTGGTAAGAGACATGTGCTAATTCCCCTTCCCTCAACAGATTTCTAGTAAAAATCCTAGCTTTGAAAAGTATTCATTTCCACATAGCACACCACTGTGTTCTTGGTGAATAACACTGCTGTATAAAATAGCTGAGTTGGGCAGCAATTTCTTACTCGCTTTGTAGAGCTGAGACCTCTTCCTGACAGGCATCCCCCCATAAACTTACAGTTGTCAGAAGCATTTGTATTTATAAAACCAGAGAAAAAAGAATCGGATTCTTTTAAGTTTCCAAATAGTTCTCTCAGGAAAGGAAGGTAATAGAAGACCCTTAAAGCAGTTCTTCCCCCAAATATGCATCAGCAGGAAGTTTACATTCAAGAAACTAGAGCAAGAACAAGAGTTTGACTTATCTGGCAGCACTCAGTCTAGTCTATTACATGCAAAGATACCCTGGTAGGTCTGATAAGGGGAGCATGCTGCTAGGTAATCAGACTGAGCTTGATGTCAGGGACCCAGGAGGAGGAGAGCCAGAGTGAGACACAGCCCTTTTGCTTCTGTGGCATATGGCACCCAACCACCAGAATGGAAGCTCTCAGTGACCCCAAGCCTGGAAAACATCTGCATGAGGAACAAGGGTGATATATATTTATTTTTTACATATCTAACACCACACTTGTTCAATATACAGGAATCCAAAATTATCCACTGTCTTTAATGATAAAAACTGCTATGGTTCATTTGTCATCTGAAGAGAGGTGGGGGTGAGCATTCTGTTTGTCCATTATCTCCCTCAAAATTGTGATTTAAATAAAAATTATCTATAACCTGTTAAATATTCCAAGAGATCACAGCACTATAAGGTTACAGAATTAGTCGGCGAGTACCTGGAACATGAGGTGCTCGGTAAATGTGTATTGACTGAACACAAGACTAAAAGAATGGCTTGATGCTTTGTGTTCCATTGTCATATTTCACACTACTCTCATTCTAATGAATGAAAATTGTGAGAGAAATAAAGCTGTAAAGAAACGCAGACACTGAATCAGAAAACCAGACACTCAATCAGAAAACCTAAATTCAAGTCTAGTTCTGCCATCCTGGATCACTTAACAAGAAGTCTCTATTTTACACGTATTGTGTCCTAGTCACTGCAGCAGGCCCTGTGGCACAGAGAAGAGTAATACAGCAAGGGCATGTGATCAGTATTGCTGAGAAATTCAGTGGTCCAAGATAGGGAGCCCTAATCTAGTTTTGCAAGTTGGGAAAGCTTTTGAAAGATGAATAGGTGATGACAAGGTATGGTAGGGTGGTAGTGGTAGTGGTGGCTGCAGATGTTCTATGATGTTATAAGCCAGCTTGTGGACACCCTGAGGCAGGAAGATCATGATTTGGTGCAGGCACTCAAAGAGGACAGTAGACAGTGGGAGAGAGCAAGGGAACAGCAGTGAGCATTGAGGAGAGGCACGTGGGAGACACACCAGACAGGGACTTGTAAACTAAAAAAGGTTTTGGACGGTGACACTGTAGTAGATTTCTGCAATTGATGGCTTTTATGGGGTTTGAGAAAAGAAAATATTATAAAAAATATAATGGGAAAAAATACAATTCTAACTCGCCTCCAGCTTGAAAGGACAGTCTATTAGAAAACACCCAACAGGGAGTGAGCAGACATAGGTTCTACACAACTAACAGTGCAATCCTCCATAACCACTAAATATCACGGAAAGAACAGTCCATTAGAAAACACCCAACAGGGAGTGAGCAGACATAGGTTCTAGCACAACTAACAGTGCAATCCTCCATAACCACTAAATATCACGGAAAGAACAGTCTATTAGAAAACACCCAACAGGGAGTGAGCAGACATAGGTTCTAGCATAACTAACAGTGCAATCCTCCATAACCACTAAATCTCAGGTCTCACTTCTTTTCCTCAGGAGCTGAACAAGATAACACACAAAGTACCTTCTAGTGCTAACATTTGATCACTCTATAGAGCATAATAGTCTTAGCACAATCTAGGCTTGTGGAGAGGCAGGTGGGCAGTGGAGGATGGTTGGCTCTAGAGCCTGCACTGCCAAAGGAAGCAACTGAACACTTGCCTGGGCCTCAGTGTTATCATCTATAAAACAAGGACATCATTAGAACCTATCTCATAGATTGGCTGAGGTTTAATGAGTTAAACACACAAAAGTACTAAGAACAAGGTTTGGCATTCATTAAGTACTCAATCGAGTTAATAGTTAATGAAAACATTCAGTCTGCTATAATACACTATCAAGTTGCTGAGTAACAATTCAGTCTTTATCTAACTGAAAGAAATGTTTTGCAACAGAGTTTTACCGCAACTCTAGCACATAATGAGCCAGGGTTAGAAGTGGCCAACTCAAATTAGTTACTTACGGTCAGGGGTGCTAATTGCTCTTTTAGTCACAAGGTCAATAGATCCATGAGACTCTTGGTTCAAGCTGCACGAAGAGCCTAGGATAAAATGGAAAAATTTTTATCTGTCTTAAACACACCAAAACAGTATCAAAGAGCAAAACAACCAAATGAGAAAACATTTGCAAGATGAAATTAATATCCTCTATATCTGAAATGGGAGCTCTGGTAGCATAGTGCCTAAGGCACTTGACTGCTAACCAGAAGGCTGACGGTTCAAACCCACCAGCCACTCCTCGGAAGGAAGGT